TGCCTAATCCCTCTGTATTCGTACAGATATTTTTAAGGATACGCAGAGCTTATACAACCTCCCCATTCCTACATCCAGCAGTGGAGTGATCACATTATCAATTCAAAACCAAATCAATCTTATTTCTATGTAAGGGCAAATCATTGTGCAGAGCTTTCCTTGGTAGATGTTGAGCACGGAGCTACAGAAAATCAGCAGCTGGAGCAAGGGGACCCTGTGCCACCAGAAACAGGGGGACACATCCGCATCATGAGCCTCTGGAGCAGGAGGACAAGGTTTGCCTATGTCCTGCTGAGTGGTGGCTGATCCTCAGTCACAACCCCTCGGCTTTCTCCTCTTGTGGCAGTGAGAAAGAAAAGCAACTCTTGACTCCACCACCCTTCTCCAGAAGAAAGGGAGATCATGACTTGAGCACAGTCCTGTAGCTCGGATATACAAGAGCAATGCACTGCTGCTCCTTGGCACACGCTCCTCGGAGCAGACGGCCAGGTTTCCTGGAAACCCCAGCAAACACAAACCTCTTGACAACAGCTATCCCAGAGGACTGGGGAGCTTGTGACCTCTCTGCCTGGCTGTTTCTGCTGTGACATGCTAAGGAGGCAAGTTGTGGGCATGATTTCAGGCTTTCATTTGAATTTGAAGGCTTTTTCCTACTCTGAGGGGACAGAAATTTTGCGAGTTTAGCATCAGGTGTATTTGCAGTTTGCTTGCTCTTTTCCTGGGCTGCCTGACAAACTTGCAAAGTGGCTGCTGGCTGCATGGGGAGCTCATGTTGGTAGCGCTTGGGTATGTACAAACAGCTATTTCCTTAGCAATTGCTTTTGGGGTTTGAAAAGATTGATGAGACTAAACCTGAAGTCTCAAAACAGGAAAGCAGAAACCATCCCTTACGGAGTAAAGTACAATCCCGAATTAGAGAATGTAATAGTCAGGAAAAGTTCTTTGGCTTTCCTGAGACTTTCAGCTGACCCATTCAAAGGGGAAATTCAGTGCAGAGGTAGCACTGGTGAATAATCGATAACTAAATCCCAGTCTGCAGCTCTGTTACTCTGGTTATGTTTTCTAAATCTTTTATTAATTATTATTTAAGATGTTTTTATATCAAAACCACTGCATAAGCAGGTATTATATATGTATCACAGACCGGGACATTTGAATTCCAGAAAGCCTTTGTGATTGCCTTTCGTAGAGTCACAACCACGTGCATTACTGAGTTAAATTCATGCACTCATAACTCATGATGCGGTGAAGCAGGGCACTGCAGACACAAGTGTGCTGTGTTTATTTACTGTGCTTTCTTGCTAAGAACACTAGAGAAAAGTTTATTTTTCAGTCTACCTCTAAAGTATCTATATGGGTTGTTGCAGTACTGAAGGCACTCTATGGGACAAAAGCATTGTTTCTGGAGGACACTGATGCAAACATAGTGATTCTGAGAAGGTTGTATCTGAATCACTAAGAAGAGAATTTCACCCTAGTGTTTATGATTTTTAACTGTGAATATCTGCCAGCTTTACCAGTCCAGATAGTCTTCTCTTTGACGTGTGCTGCTTGATGCCAGCCGGGCTGTTTTGTTCCTTGAATTAACCCAAGGGGAAACTGCCCCCCAAGCCCCTAGCAAGGTAGGAGCAGAAATGACCCACATGTGTCTTATGGTCTGGGGTGAGTGCACTATAGACCAACACTCGTGCTCTAAGGATGGGCTATAAATGCTTCCTTGGCACCTGTGGTACTCCCATCTGCTCTGGGCAGTGCGTGTTTGCTCCCTGCACTTGGAGAGGCTTCACCTCGGCTAGGGCAAATTCATTCCTCCTAGGTTCGAAACCAGAAGATTCACTAAAACAATAAACCCTGCTTTCACGTGCTCTTGAGTTTGATAGCAGCCTTCACATGCAGGAAAGAAAAGCTATATTGATATAGACAGCATCCCTGCTCTAAGAACTGTCTGTAGCAGTTTGTGAGCACACTTGAAGTACCTAGATCTACATAAAATTTCTGAACCCATCACTTACTTCAAGCCTTCTGCAATCTCCAGGCAGAGTCATGGAGGAATCAACGCATGTGTGCTCAGCACCTCGTCCCCTACTGCTTTGTTCACATGAAATCTCCAGCAGGGTTACTAAACATTTCATTTGCTTGCAATCTTAATTTTCACACTCATTTTGAGAGGTTTTGCATGACTCTGGTGGTCCTTCTGAATGTGTCAATGTCTTTACAAGTCGCAGTCAGAATAAGGAAGGCTCTGTTTTCAGAGCATCGCCGAGGATGCTCCTCCAAAAAGACGAAAGCCCTGAGAGGTGCTGGAAAGCTTTGTGCAAGCTGTCTCTTGAATTCAGCGCCAAGGCTGCAATGTGGCATGTGGGGATTTGCAGACACAATGCCTCACTAACTCACATAGGGGAAAAAAAACCCTGCAGTTAGCATTTCTCACAAAATTTGAGTTAAAATATTTGCAAGCAAACCCCTGCTCGAAGTCAAGCAGAGCCATGCAGCTGCAAATTGACAGAACCAGCTTGTTGCAGAGCTTGCAAGAATTAGATATTTTTCCACCTCTGCCTTTGAAAACAAGCTCTAAAACTGGCACCAGTGCGAGCAAAAAGGGAAAGTTGTTGCAATTACGCAATTATGTACAGGTTGAACCTATGTTCTGAAAAATATTGTAGACAGGATTTTTCTGAAGGACTTGCTGTTGCAATGTGTTCAGTATACATTTGATATTTCTTCTTTTAGCAGATTATTTGGCACATGTGCCACCATTTAGCCATGGTGAGAAAAAAAAAAAAAAGTGAGAAATTATACTGGCAATGCTAGAATTTTTCATGTGACCTGGATAGACAATAAAATGTAAGGTTTTGACTCCAGCTTTTGAGATTTGATCCTACATCCAAACAATTGCTTACAGTCAGGCTCAATTGCCTAGTGTCTTGTCCATCAAACTTTAGGCACTTCAAGATTATTTGATAAAACAAATTAGGCAGCTCATAAAACAGCTGCTCATAGGAGCCCTCAAGGTCTTAGAATTTAAGAAAAATGGAGCAAGCAAGCTAAAGGGTGAACCAAAAAGTGCAACTTTGGCTGAGAAACATGCAATTTCTCTTCTGCCTACATAATATAGTATTGAAACTGTGCATCCTTTTACAGAAGCTGGTCCCCAAAATCACACAGCTTCCCTCTCACTTGGCCTTTGCCATCTGCATGTCATTCTGCAGAGCAGGCTCCTGCGAGGCAGCCTCAGCCAGCACTTTTGCAGTGTTTGCAGCCCCTGAACTGCTGCCTGCTCCCCTGACAGCCTAATTTTGAGCTTAATGACCTGGACCATCATGTGCTCTCATGATATGAGTGATTGGCTCCAAAACTGCTCACCTGTACTAGTTTTTCATTATTATCATGGTTATCTCTGTATGGTCACCAGGTCTACCCTCTGGAAGGTCTAGCTTCTCTGCTTGCTTTGGAGCAGAAAACTGGTGTTGCAGCCAGAGTTCAATTAAAAAGCCAAGAGATAGATGTGTGCGGCAGGGGGATGGGAAAGCACTTTACTAAACTGCTTAGAGCTTTATCATTGCTTAGAAACCTCCAGTTTAGCATATGCTGTCAAGGAATTGCTAATAAGAGCATCGGGATTATTAATGTATGACAGAGGCAATTGGAAACCCTATCATCAGCACTGACAAACCATTACCATAGATAAAGTTCAAAACATCTGTTACTCATTTTAATAAGGAACATGCCTGCAGTCAAACATACCAAATACTTCTACTCACCTACAGTGTGGTCACTCTTTGCCCACAGCCTTTTCTCTCCATTTCCTGTGTTCTGTTTCTCACCAAGAAACTATGTCAAAAAACAGGGGAACAGCCCAGAAAAGTCCCACTCTTCTCACTGCAGCACGAGTTGTGGTTTTGGGGTGGGATATGCTTCCTGGAGGGTGTCAAAGCTTAGTCGTGCTGGTTGTGCCTCTACCCGTTTCTTGGTGTCGCAGCGCTGCTGGCACAGCTGCGCGCTTCCCCGAGACGCGGCCGCAGAGGTGCCCATCGGGATGGAGGGAGTGGGGCTGGCAGCCCAGAGAGTCCTTTGGGCAGGGGCTCTCCCACTTCAAAGGCAGAAGAGGCTGCCAGGTGAGCCAGCCTCCCCTGCAGGTCCTTGTTTTACAGCTGTGCTGTAGTTATAGTAGTGCATTTTACTTTATTTTGCTGTATGTCTTATTTCAAGAGGAATTATATACATCTTACTAGTGTGCTACCTGCTTAAGAGAGGATCTTTTCAAGTGCTATGCAATTTCATGCCTCCTTTATAGTCTCATTTCTCTTCATGCAGAAGCCTTAATAATGATTTATTTGATTAGCAGCAGCAATGAGCTAAGTGCTCCATAATACGTAAAAAAACAGCTAATAATTCATGGGGTTTATACATCTATAAATTAAAAAGAAACCGCTTTGCATATTTTTTTCATCCTCTCGTTTATTGCTAGAAGGGAGAATAATTTAGAAGATATGTATTTGTATATAGATAACAAGAGACAAGTAACATCACTAATCATTTTACTGAGTTCATTACTTAGAGCACAACATAAATAAATTCAACTCACCACCCCGCAGTAGCCTTTGATTCCCAAGTTAATCTCATTTTGGGGTCAACCTTCATTATCACATCGTAATGGTGAAATACGACGCCTTGCGCAGTGCATGCTACCGCAGCACAGGAAGACGTGGAGCTAAGGGAAGCTGTGTCAGTGAGCCCATTATTGTGGTGCCCTTTCCGCCACAGCAACATAAAATTGTTCTTAAGAACTGAGTGATTCATACTGAAGCATTGTAAGTGCCTGCAGCCCAGCAGTGTGCTTTCCCAGGACCTCGGGGACTGCTCTGGAGCAGCGTGCTGTGGTTACGCACAAGGGCATCTCTGCTGCATAATTACGCACCCTCTGCCTGTAAAATTGGCTCAGTTTGAATTGGCACATTGAAATGGTGCTTCAGTTTGCACTGCTACCCTTCCTAAACATCATGCCCAAACCAACCCCTTTAGCTGAACTGGGATGGCCCAGCACGCAGCTGGTCCCAATGCCTCTGCACCAAGAGGCAGTTATAAGGTAAGGCTGATGCTCAAAAGTGCAGAAGAGCCCTGTCATAAACTGGACTCTGGTCCCTACTCCTGTGACTCTTTTATACAGCAAAGAAATATTTGCTTGGTCCTTGAGAAACATGCAAGGTGTAAAACTGCCCCTGGTTATTCTCAGTTGATACTGTAAACTGATGCTGGCATGCCCCTTCCACAAGAATATGGGGACTGGCCTCCTTTAGAGTCATTGCATGCTCTTTCTGCTTATGAAAAACATAGTTTCAAGTCCTTGCCTCAAGCCTTTGATCTGCTAATTTGACTAACCGGGAGGTGAAGCTAGCATCAACCATTCTTAAAATTTGGACACTGTTTTTTTGTTTGTTTGTTGGTTCCCTTTGGGTTTTTTGATGACATTTCAAGCTATTAGTATGAGTGACCCTTGGAGGCCACTGGTTTCAGAGCACCTGGGCCTCACAGCTCACTGGGCTCCCTCCCTCTGGAGCGGCTATCGGTGCAGGCCCAGCAGATACTGTGGGAGGCTGCTGTTAATGGGGAAATGCAGATTGTTAGATACTGCACAATCTCCTTTGAATTTTCTAGTATAGAATTTTTTCCCATGCTAAACTATGGGAAATGTTGGTATTCACTGAGCTGGTAGATAATTGTTTAAAATTCAGATCAGTATATTGCAACAGCAGCCATACATAATTTGTATCATTAAGTTCCTGCAAAGTTTGGAGGGCTTTTTAAAAACCTGTGGTCAAATAAAATCACAACTTTTCATTCTGTGTGGCCAGGTATATTATAAGTGTCAGGTAGTTCTCAAAATTAGCCTTAGTATTTTTTTAAAGGGGCTTTTGCACAGCAGGTACTACCCCTGTTGCTCAGAGGAGATGGAGAAATCCCCTGTAGGATTAATGGGAGGGAAGGGACCGCTGCAGCACTGCACGAAGGGCAGCATGACCTGGATCAGAAGCACCACCCACGCTGTTCCTAACCAGTGGACACTTTCGGGACACGGGGTCACTGGCAAATGGCCAATAGCTGCTTATTTATATCCTGCTTGGATACAGATTTCAGGAAAAAAAAAAAAGCCAGGTAAATGATTTGTGATAGATGCACACAAGTGAATCCAGTCATGTGGCAGCCCCTGCCTGAGTGAAGCAGTTTTTCAGACGTACAGCATGTTTTTGCTTCCCTACCCAGCCCCAAGATTCCTTTTACCTTTGCCAGAGGTGCAGCGTGAGGCTCACCTGTGCACAACTCCCCCGCCACAGGCTTCTCTCCCAGCTCCAAGGCCCTCCTGCTGAGGCCGCCTGGCTCCTCCATCCTCCACCCGGCCCTTTCGATCATCTGGGCAGCTGAGATTGTCACCATGGCCCCCTGCTCCAATGCGAGTTTTCCCAGGAGTTTTTCGTAAGCCCCTATCAGCAGCTCAATCAGAAAAAGTCCACATTCTCTTCAGGCCATATCATTCACCGCTGTCTGCAGGATATACAGAGAAGTGGGGATGGATCTGTGTCTGTGCAGCACAGTCAGGGTTTGTGTGAGCTGAAGGAGCAGGTTGATCACTCATGGCGTGAAGTGCCGTCACACTGGGTTATTCTTTCCCAGAGAAGTAAAAGAACACCGCTAAGTAATAGCAAATTGATTAAGTGCCATTTTTCAATGTTTCTCCTTTGAGTTTACTTGGTATTTCCTTGCAGTCACTTTAACCCTGTAGGCCAGTAACTTAAACTTATTTTCCCTGAGTTAGGACTACAGCTGTGCCATCAAAACGGTGCTTATGAAAGGTTAAGTCTTGCTGACAAAACAGTGAAGGTATACTGGGAGCAAAAGATCCTCTGTTTTTTTTTTAATCAAAGCCCTTTCAGTAGTAACAGAAAAATATATATATATATATATAGTGTAAGAATTTCAAAGATTTTTATTTCCTGCAAGCTTCAAGAAAATCAATAGCCCTGTGGAGATTTAAATGGGTGTCGCTGCTGGTGGAAACTGTTCAGCACAAAGCTGGGGTCATTTGTCTTGTTTTATTTGGTGTCCACTTAGCAACAGCAAGCAGAAGTACAAGTGCAGCTTGCAGCTAACCCATCACGTGCCTCTTGGGAGGATTTAGGGGCTGAGGTGGGATTTTACAGCTTGTATTACTAGGAGGAATGGGAAGTTTCGGGATCATTGCAGGGAACGGAAGGTATGCCAGATTGGGAAAGATCATAGGAAATATGGAAAGGATGTTGAATTATTTTTTATTAAATGAGAATGCAGAGCTGTAGATTTAGGAAACCTTTTGTAAAGCAACATTTTAACGGGGCTTTGTTCAGTGCAAGAAGTTAAAGCACAGACTCCAATGGTCTGTAGTAAACTCTGCTTTTCTCTTTACTAAAGACATTTCCAAAAAGGTTTATGAATGTATGGATCATGTACTGGAACTGCAGATAACTCTGTACCTCTGCAGTGACACTTGCCAAGGACAGGAGAGAGACTGGGGCATTTGCTGGGCTGTGACATGAAGGCACCTTCATTTTTCTCATGCTTAAAGTTTTCACTTTCAATATGACTCAGATTACCTTGCCTACCTTTTAATTCATTTCTTCCTATCACCATCCAGTCCCTTGTGCCCTTTCTAGCTTCTGTCTCTAGACCCAGAATGCATTCTTGAACTCGCAGATCTTGAGCTGATGCAAAATGTTACTATTTGATCTCTGATTCTATTAATCTTGTTTCTCCACTTACAGTTTTCTTCTTTTGTTTGGCACATTTTCTATGAAACAAGACAGATTCCTGGCTATAGGGCTGAAACCAGCCAGTTGCTTGTGGCTCTTACTAATGTTTAGTAGTGCAAGACCTAAAATTGCAATGTAGTATAGCCGAGCTTATCCAAGATTGGGGAGATGTTTTTCAGTTTACTTCCTTCTTCTAGCAGGATGTTTGCTGGTAATACCTGGGTATTTGAGGCCAGTGACATGGTGACTTTTAATACCTTAGTTAAAGAAGAGAACAGCTCACCTTCCTTGGCACTGAGCCACAAGAAATAGCTCTGGCTATGGAAAATATTCTGAAGTGTGGGGGAACACTTGGTGTAAAGTATGTTTAGCATATTAGGTCTTTGGGGTCTGAAAAAAATCTTGGCTTCTTCACTTAGTAGTTAATTGGGATTGATGTGATTAAGGTAGTAGCTTCAAGGGTAGTATGTAACACACACTCAGATCTTTCAAACAAGGTCATTAATAAACCAAAGTGGCTTGGAATTCTTAAATTAATATTAGTCTACCACATGCAAGCAAATCAAAGCTAAAATTTTAATTTTAAATGAGAAGGCCAGCAAAGTGAGCAGCAGAAGTTAATTTCTCTTAATGATGGTTCCAAATCTTTGTCCAAACCATCTAGGGTACTGACAAAGGATCTAGGGCATTTTATGGCCTTTATTATGCATGTGAGCACTCAGAATGACACAAAGTGACAGCTGGTAGAGGGTGATTATTGTCAAAGTTTCATAACTGCAAAGGGGAGATTTATGGCAGATGACACAAGGTATTTGCCTCCCATGCTCCCAGAGGTTTGCATTTAGAGAAGCACTTGAAGCTCACCGCAGATAGCTTGTTGTCCAACAGAGTCAGCTGGGGATATAAAGTAAGCAACATGAAAATTCTAAGTCCATTGGACTTGGGTGCTGATTGCAGCAGGCATCTTGCAGGCTCAGGCCCTTCAAGATGTACTCAAGAAAGCAAACTTGGCTGTAAAAAGTTCTCATTAGCCGGATGAGTTACTTTTTTTTGGCGTTTCCTTTCTTTTTTTTTTTTCTTTTTTTCTTCTTCTTCCTAGAGTCTTCATTGCCTTTTCAGCTCTGGCTGGATCTCCGGGAAGCCAGACTAATTTACTAACTCTGCAAAAAACTAATTCAGCTGAAAAGGAAGATTTCTCTGCTGGACAGATGGATACCAGACATGAGTGGGTAAACAATGGGTCAGCGGGAAAGGGGAAAGAGCAAGCAAGAGGGAAGCAAGGGAGAGTGAGACCTGTGCTTTTTGGTTACAGGAATCACTGAACATAACTCGGTTACCTCGGGCTCTCATGGCCGTTTGGTTCACTGAGAGAAACAGATAGCTGGGCAACCTTAAGAGCTACAGACCAGCCTTTCCAGACCATTTTGACCAACCTCATTACTTCTGCGCTTCCATCACTCTGGGTCCCAACATACAGTTTTGTTTTGCAACAACTTTCTTCTAACTTTCTTCTTCTTTCTTTCTTCTAACAGAGCCATTATTTACATGTAGTAGGCAGAGTTTAAACAACAAAAACCTATACAAATATTCTCTTATCTAAGCTTAGCTTAGCATTTGACTCAAATTAACAGGGATGCTTTAGCTGTGGAAATCCTCTCCATTTTCCCATAAGCTAAGCTTTGTCCAGCTTCTTTTCATCCTTCTCTCTCCCCTTTCTCAGTGCCTCAAAGTGACTGTTTCCAACTCCTCGTTGACAAGATCTTGCTGACAGATATTCAAGAATCCAAGCTGATTTGCTCTTTCTTTAGGCAGCTCCAAACTCACTTAGAGGAGCTTTGACCCAAAAACCTTTAAATGGCTGTTTTACCAAAGTGCATTGTGAAAGAGTAGCAGTAATTGCATGGGAGGATGGGAAGAAATAGAATGGCAGCATTATCAACAGCTCCAGAAGCAATAGTCTAGAAGGCCCCACTCCATGACAGAATAATAACTCAAGAAGTAGAATGCAAAAAAAATGTACTGGAAATTCAGAATTAGAAGTTACTCAGAAAAACAGATGCTTGGAAAGACTGGGTCTAGTTAGATTGTAATAGCTGGATTGTCCTGCTGGATTGTCCTTTACAGTGTAGAGGAGAAATCTCAGCCTGGGCCATGTCAAGCAGCTATATGCATTGATAAGAAAAAGAATGATCATGCTAAGAGCTAGCTTTTACTTAGCGAGCTCCTGATACAGCAATCTGTTTTCTTCTGTGTCTTTCTACAGCTAGGAAAGTCAGGGTGCAGGGGGTGGAGTGACCCAGCAGACCAAATCCATGCACATGCCCACATGTGCAGGAGAGCTTAACCAGGGTAGGAGTGATGTATGTTGCTCCCAGTAGAATCATAGAATCATAGAATGCTTAGGGTTGGAAGGGACCTCTAGAGATCATCTAGTCCAACCCCCCTGCATACGCAGGGACACCTAAAGCACGTGGCACAGGACTGCATCCAAGCGGGTTTTGAAGATCTCCAGAGAAGGAGACTCCACAACCTCTCTGGGCAGCCTGTTCCAGTGCTCTGTCACCCTCATTGTTAAGAAATTTTTCCTTAAGTTCCTATGGAATTTTTGATGTTTCAGTTTCCGGCCATTTCCTCTAGTCCTATCAGTGGCCACCACTGAAAAGAGACCAGCACCATCCTCTGTAGCTCAAAAATTTCTTAGCAAACTTGAAAAGATGGATGAAGCAGCTCATCCCATTGGTACCATATCTGAGGGAAGCCCATTAGGCTCCTCAGCAAGAAAATGACTGCATAGAAGATGAGAAGGCAGAGCAGCTAAAGGAGAAAAGTCTTCAGAGATTATATATTTAAGTCTCCAACTACTCTGGCTAAGGGCTTAGGCTTAAATCAAGTCATTGCTGCTGCACAGTAGGTTGTTGTACACCAGCAGAGCCATGGTGCTTTTGGCTATCCACACGCACATGCTGAGCCACCATAAGTGAGAGAGGCAAGTGCATACTCTCTAGACTTACCTTAGAGTATTTTAAGACATCTTCTTCCATATGCACCAAAGGCTATGCTCGTGCTCATGGGCAAATCATGTAAGTCTTGGTGACCGATCAAGTTGCAATAACCACATTGAGCCTAGGTCACACCTTGATGATCTTCAAGAAACTTTTCTTCTCAAGCTACTAGTTGTTTTCCTCTTAAATACGCTTACAAACAAGAAGTTTGTGTTTTTTATTTTTATTTTATTTTTATAAGATGCTTATAAATACTAGAAGGAAAAAAAAATAGATTATGGACACAGATCATTTTCAGCCTGCAACTTGTGCTATCACCAGCAAAAGAGAACACACAACCTTACCTGACCACTTAGAGTTTTTGCCAAGAAGAGATTGAAATTAAATGTTCATATCTTGTAGTTACTTCATGGCTGCCAAAGGTCGTGTTTATTTTAACACTGTAATGGCACAGACAAATGTAAAGCAGCTCTTGGTACACAAAGACATGAGGCAGCTGCAGAACATCATTACAGACCATATGGGCTGTAAAACTTGTTGCAAAATATCTTTGGGTGCACTTCAATCACTAAACTGTCATCTTGGCATTTTCTGTATTGATGGAGTAGGGCAGTCAAAATCTTTCCCTTCTTACAGCTATTTTTACATCAGAACTTTTATTTATAGCAGCCTACCATCAGAAATGAGGAGGAGCAAGTGTGTCTGACTTTTTTCCCAAGCTGGGTATTTTTCTTTGTCATTAACTTATGGGCTTTAGGCCAACTGCTTGATCAAAGGGAGCTTCATCTGGCACAAAGAGCATAGAAAATATGTCGCTCAGGATAAATTGAGACCCAAAGCACACCTTACCTGGATAAGGTGCAAACCCAGAGTTCTGCAGTGATTAAACAGCTCTCTGGGTTAACAAATAAAAATAATAACAATAATAAAAACATAACCCTAGTCTCCCTCAAACCCCAGACTGTGCCTGTCTGTCTAAATTAAGCCTAATGCTGTGCCTGATGGTTTCTGACCCACACAGCCTCCTTCCTCCCTCCAGCAGGGACGTATATGCAGCTTCACTGAACACACTTGAGCCACAGGCTGGTCGCAGTGGCCCCAGAGGGCAGCCAGGCTGGTGGGGAGCATCCGAGCAAAACGGGACCCCCGGGTTGCCCTGCAGAGAGGAGTGTGACACTTCACAGCCATCCATTTCTGAGTCTGTGGGGAAGGAGGAAGGGGAAAGAAGCTACAAAACAGCTCATACGAAAAGGGAAAACACGCTTGGAAGAACATGGCTAACATCTCTGACCTGCTATGCATTACAGAGCACCTTTCCCCTTAAAAAAAAAATTGTCATATCAATTCTCAGACAATCAAGGAAGAAGCGAAGATGAATTTTCAGTTCTATTGAATAGAAAGACATTAAAATGAGCATCACGAATGCCTTTATACCTGTGCTTTTTTGTCTTTCTCCCCCCACAGGAAAGAGACCTCCCTTCCTCCCCGTGCTGGGAATGGGGTGCACCAGCTCGAGGAGCGGTTATCCAGGCAGGAAAGGACCATGGCTCTTCTCCTTGAGCAGGCTGCCCACATCAAGGATGACCTGGTCTCCCACCTCCAAGGGCCTCGAGGGGAGCAGCAAGGGGACACAGCTGCCCAGCAGCTCCTGCAAAGTCATGTCCAGGCCGTCATGGGCGCAGTCAAGCAGCTCTGCCGAGATGTTGAGGTAGGTCAACCTTGCTACATCCAGCCCCTCCTGTGGGAAACAGAAACCATGAGAAAGTGTGGGAAGCTGTGGGAACGGCGAAAGATAGGAGTGAGAAACTGTGGAATTTAGGAATAACAGATTAGCAGATAGAGAAACCTAAAACACCAGCTGGATGCACCAATCCCTGGTTGGCTACCTGTTGTCCATTAGCAGGATTGGACCCAGATAGCAAGAATCAAGGAACCGGCTGGAGCAGGGGGAGGGAGCACATGGACAGTGCATGAACAGTGTATAATCACATACTCGGAGAATATATAAGTCTGGTCTGATGCTCAATAAAATGGCTTCTCATCTTAAACCTTAAGCCCCTGCTCCTTTCAATAACTCTCACACCCTCCATTCCAGCCTCTCTGTGTGTCAGCTTTCTGTGGAAAGCAGCTTTCACTCCTACAGCAGCAAGCGTAGTTTCATAGAAAAACAGAAAAGTAAAGATTAGGAAAAATAAAATAAAACACATAGATTAATGAATAGTTTTCCCCTTTTAATCAAAAGGTTCACATTCTGTTTGCTTTCATTTTTTGAAGTTTCAGATCCTGTTTGCTTTCACTTTTGTTGAAGTGCAGGAGATTGAGTCTAAGAAAGATAAGAAATAAAGTTTGTTTTCCATTTAACTGCAAGCTTCATACTTGTTTTCATTTCTTCTCTAGGCACAGATGTTCTACTCCCTTACATAACTTCTGTATGCAACATAACAAGTATTGCTAAAAGTTCATTAAGCTCAATTCAGACTGGAATGAAGGTTCATTTCTTGTCTTATTCGTTTCAAAGAAAAGAAAAAAGAATAATGTTTTGGGGGAATGCATGGAATTATCTTTTCCTGGCTAAATAGAACTGATTATTTGCTGTTGTTGTGGGGACAGATACCAAATTTACAAATGCTTTGGGGTTTTTTTTGGACAGGATGCAAAAAATAAGAAAACCATGAAAAATATCTCATAATTTGTTTTACACTTTGAAGTGCTAAATGCTTGCCACTAAGTTCATGATACACTTTGCTTTCTATGTACTCGGAAAAAAAATCTTTGCACTTCTATGTATTTATCTTAACAGGCGTGAAATCACAGCTCACATTAATCCAAGAACCAGGACATTTTACACTGATTTTATTTTCAGCATTTAGATACAACCATGATGAGCAACACTATAATACCCCATGTTTGTTTTGAATCATTTAAGTCTCCTAAGTAGCATACACATATACAGGCTTGTTTAACTAGAAGAATGCCTGTGATGCTATCAGGTCTGTGAATCTAATCTTTTTCCTTGGTTAGAAATTACACTTTGTTAAGTCTAATCCCACGTACTCCTTTGTTTTGTATTTTCTGGTTGTGAGGACTTAAGGATGAAGCACTGATAGCACTACTGAGAAACAGCAATTAAACTCACTTTCACAAGAAAGAGAGTGGCTAAGCAACTACTATTTCTCAAGCATTTAAGTTAAAAAAAAAAGAAAAAAAGAAAAAGAAAACCTGCCTTTGTATTTTTCCATGAGTTATATTTAAATTTTATACTCAAGAAAACAGTAAGTTCACACAAGGACTGAAACTATCACAAGTCCTTCAAAAATACTGAGGACCAAGCCTGCTTAAATACAAGCCTCAGCTGCCTGCATTAACAGTTCAACAGGGCTTCCAGCTTCCTGCTACCCCAGGAGACTTCAACAGCAGGGCCAAGCACGGATGGCTGTTGCAGGGACAGATGGTGTTTTTGGCACCACTGCATGACTACAATCTCAGTACCTGTCCTGGAGAAACCCAACGACTTTGCAGAAAGGCATCCACACTTAACAGGTCCTCTTGATGCTGCCTCATGATCTCCAAGGATAAGACGCACCTTTCTACGGAGTGGCTCCTCAACGAAGCTCATTTCTGGCTGCAGCTAAGTTCTTCCCACATGACCCCTATTCTTCCTCATCCCCGTTTTTCTCTAGGGGGCAAAGAGCTTGAGCCACTAACAGCAAGAGGCATCTGGGACTCCTGTATATATACGCTCAACTAAGTGCAGCAAGGGCCTCACCTGAGGCTGGAAATCAAGGCTACTGTATCAAGGCGAATTAGGTGCATAGTGTGAAGTGTTAAATCATCCAAAGGGAAATTTGAGTCATATGTGCTTCAAATCTTTCTAAAAGTGGGATGACTATTCTTTAAAAAAGCCTGCTTTAAGAAAGGCTATGGCATACTGCTGCCATCAGGAGTGAAGCCGAGTATGAGGAAACAAATCTATCTGATAGAGCCATAAAACTTTCTGGGCTGCTGCTCAGAAACATCAAGGTGACAGCTGGAAAATAAATTAAAAAAAAAAAAGAAGACATCGTTTATGATTTTAGTATAGGACTGGAAATCCTAGATATTAAAAACTTGAGGGCAGAGGGATAATGTGTTCAACATCCTTTCTCCAGTAACAATTATAAGATAAGTACGTGCCAGTTAAAGGGCTGCTCACGGATGAGCTGCTGAGTTTGAGGCCAGACGTGGAGCGTGCGCATCTCTTTGACCCACCACTGGGAAGGCAGCATTGCCAGGAGCCCGGGGAGCCAGCCCAGGAACTGCAATATCAATTTCTCTTGGTAAACAGGAGGCTGCTGCTTTCCATCCTAATGAGAAAGAGACCTGTGCAGCTCCTGCCAGCGGAAAGCTCTTGTCCTTCATGCCGCTTTTCCATCTTTGCTGATCTACTGCATCGCATTTGCAAACACCCTGAAAATGAGGCATTTGGGTTGTGCAGTGTTGGAACCAGGCGCAGGACAACTGCACAGGCCTTTACGGGAGCCAAGCCAGATTACAAGACACGATCCCAATATGAGTTTAGATCTTGCTCCATTTATTAGCAGAAGTGCACATATATTTATACCTACAAGCATCTGAAGGATATCCAGGTTAGCTACGATTGGTTGCTAGGCAGGTTGCTATGTCCTGGCCGCATAGGCTCTTTCCCAGCTCTGCAAAGTTGTTTACCAGAGATGGCTAACTACTCCTTCCCACATAGCTCCCCATTCCCAGCCGGCCAAGGACAACTCACTAACACTCCCCAGTACATTATCAGCAAGCCGCAGGTGGTGCAGATTCCCAGCACAGTGCAGATTCCCAGCACAGTGCAGATTCTCAGCACAGCATTTCTCTACAGTGCAGTATGTTCTGCCCTGTGAAAATAGTATTTTCCACCAGAGACCAAAAGTAGGAATGCCCGATCACAGGTCAGTGTTTCAAGTACTCAGCATGCATGAGACCCAGAACTATTCAGAAGCAACTCCATACATGACAGCTTTGAATCAAACTTTATTCCACAGACTTTACCCCCAAACTTTTCTCTGCTTGCTTATGTCCCACACGTAGCAAGAGCTAGAGCACGTCCTTTGGTGAAGAACCCATGGTGATGATCCAAGTGACATAGCAGCCCACGCTGCAGGAGGAGCATGCGGAGAGGGAACCCTTTTGTGTCCGCCCAGGCCCGCAGCCTCACTGGGCCTGGGCCCAGCGGCGGCGCTCGGCTCTGCCCCGCATCACCGCGGCTGCGGCACCCTGCGGCTGGCACAAAAAGGTCACCTTAGCTGTTGACTCCCTCCCCAAGACACCCGTGGCACCGGGAGCCCTGCCGAAAATGGGTGTAATGGATTAAGGGCTGCGCGTGCTGCGTGTGTGCGAGGGGGAGAGCAAGGCGGTATGAGCTTTTGCTTTTCCTAATTTTTTAGTGCTGGACTTTTCATCGTAAATAATGGTTTTTAACAGAAAGGTAGGAATATCATTTATGTAGATGTAGGTTTCTAAAATAAAAATACATTTACTTCCTCCTAGAAAGAAAAGCAAAGTTTTAGAACTACTAGCTCATGTGGTGCTTTGGTCTCTTATGAAAAAAAAGAATGGAAAAGTGTAAAACCAAACCAGCACTAATGGTCTTGAATTTACAGGTTTTGGAAATGCAGATAAGGACCAGAGATAATGCTACACTAGAAAGTAACTTTGCTCTTCAAAGTCTGGACCGTAAATATATTCAAGGTTTTGGAGACCTACGTGGAAGAGTAGCAAGGTAAGGAATACCTAATGGCTATGATTTCCATTTCTGTTAGTGTATTTGTGGAAGCGGGCATGCATGTACTTTGCACTCATTTTATATCTCATTGTAGAGCCAGACCTGTGCTTACCATTCTCAGAGTAAATGAGAACTCCATTGTCCACGTTAATGAAACTACCAAACCAGTGGGGGAAAAAAAAAAAAAAAAGAAAAGGTGTGCCTATCTTTCTGTCTCATTCTTCATCACAAATGCAACATTTTAGAAAATTCCTTTTTCTGCAGTGCGGATAGATTCCAGCTGAAGTAATTATTTCCTCCTACTTAAGCTCTCCTGTTGTTTCAGTAAAATATGGTGTAGAGATCGTTACCTCCTTTCTTGGAAAGTAGGTCTTACCAAGCAAGCTTGATTTCTTCCTTTGATGAGAGTATAAGTTGTCATTGGTACAAGCAATTTTATGTACGTAATGCACATGGACTTCTGTCAGGCACTTAGTGACATAAAGTATTATAATTCAAACAAACACCAAATAAAACCTTATCATGTAGTATCAAGAGAGTACATAGTTTCAGAACCGCTCAACGGATATATCAGAAAAAATAGTCATTAAGGAAGAAATTGCCCTGAACCAAAATATTTCAGGTGGAGTTCTCCAGACACTATTCAAAAGCTTCTCACATTTTTGAGTAATTCAGAAGCACATATAAAATCACTGTCTTTGAAACATGTGGAGCAAACAAATGGTCAAATGAGAAGACAGTAACAGAGGATAACCTGGATTGTTGGCAATGTGGGATGATTGAAGCAAAATGAAATCTTGGCAGTGCTGGGAGCTCACCCCAGACCCTCAGCCAGGGCAAATCTAGACATTTCTGTTGTAGCCAGTGGAGTCATCCAAAGAGAGCTGCCAGTGACACTCACCTTCTGCACCCACCACTTGGGGAGCAGATGATGCAGCTCAGAAAAAACAGGAATCTTTTTTCACTTCTTTTTCTAGAGCTGTCCTTTCTAGAACTGAAAGGTCCCATGCTTTGCTCATCCTGAAGGCAATTGCTTTTGACATAGTACCTGGTGTTATGGTCATGCAGGCATAGCACATAAACTGCTCTAGAAAATAAAGCAATTGTTTAAAAAAAAAAAAAAAAAACCTGTAAAAAAAAAGCAAATTTTTTAAAAAAAAAAAAAAAAAAAAAAGGATGACTAGTCCACTTCTACTTGCAGTAAAAAAAAATGCAGAAGAAACAAGATGTAGAGGATTCGTGCATATTCAGAACAACACTTTTTATGAGCTTCTCTTTCCTCTTCATCCATTCCTCTTTTGACTGAGCCCAAATAAGAGACTGCAGGAATTGCTGCCGTAGGAATCACTTGTTTCACGATCGGTAGCTTCTCATGGATGATTGGCCTTTCCCACTGGGACAGAGGAACTGGAGAAGATCTCAAAATATATGCATGAAATTTCACATAAAAATTATCCTGAGGAAATTACTGTTGTCCTGTTCGAGAAAAAAAAAAAAAAAGAGAGAGAGAGAGAGAAACAAAATGGCATGTTTTCTAGCTTCATCAAAACATACTGATGATATTGCTGTGCCAGAGCTGGCTTTCTTGTTGCATTTCAACAGTCATAATGTGACTTAGATGTGAATAATTGTCATTAGGCTAAAGCAGGGTACAGCTTTATGTGACTGATGAGTTTCCAGCACTTTCTCCTTTTGATTGCTACTGAGTTTTCCCTCTGGAAAAGCCAAGCATACCTGGCTTAATGGCATACCTGCCTCCAGAACACTGGTTCAGAAGCCAGTCACTGAAAACTGAAGGAATACTATTAGAGCGATGAACTATATTTTGTTTTTCCATATTTCTTTGATCTTTTATTTTAGGATAAGGTACTTTTGTGCTTATTATATAAAGCCCAGACTAGTTGGAAACAAATGTACACGGTCATGTAATTTATATTTTAAATAGAAGTCTTCCAAATGCAGGCTGGCAACAACATATTTCCCCTTGATTTGTTACTCTGCCTAAATCTAAGACTATCTGGGATGGGATGAACCTTAATGGATCCACTGCTCTTTCTTATAGTAGATGATTCACCCTTCTCTGTTGTGACACATGTAAAGGATTAATGGGCCTTAATTCATCAAAATTCAAATCATGTCTGTCTATCAAACTGTGTATGCAATAAACATGTAGCTGCTTTGCATGAGCAATAATACTGATATTATGCATAGGAGAAAAGAGATATAAGGAGATCTGGAGACTTAACAGACATTGGCCATTAAGGCCTCCTGTGTAGGGTATACCAGGTCTTCAGGGGCCACTGCTTTAGTCACTTAGGCTACGCAGTAATACAGAAGGGGTTGAATTAACGAGTGATGCAAGGCTCTTCGGATGATGCTTTTAAATCCTCCATTTTTAAGTATTCTCCATATCCAATATTTAAGTTCCTTTTTCACACTTGTAGTTGAAATTACATCTTCTCACTGCTCTAGATCCACTAAGCCTCCCCCTTCTCACACCCTTTGCTTTTTACAAAGTTTTCTAATTGCTGCCCTGAGGGAAGATGTTATTAACCAGAGGGAGGGCCCTGTTTCCCTGATCTCTTTTGAAAAGGCTGATCCATGCCTTCAGCTAGTAATAAACCTTCACCCCTACCCAGACCTCATTTCAGTTATGCACACGTGCATCCTCTCCAGTCGTACGTGAGTGCTTGTGGCTGTGCTGCTCCTAACGGGAAGGAATCAGGTAGGAAGCTTCCTGCACAAGCGAGCTCTTGAACAAATCGTCCTACTCTCTCTCAAAAAACAGCCTTTTACAATTTGACTTACTTAGTAATTGTTTTTTCCAACAGATAGCTACTTTTGTTCAAATTTCCAGCCTTAGCCCTGAGTTTTTATTGTTTGCTGTAACGTCTTTTGATTTCCCTGATCGAAGCGCTCCGTAGGTGTAGCACAACATGGAAGAAGCATCAGATCTATTTAAACAGCCAAAATTTCTCTTTAGATCCTCTATCTATCAACAATGCTGACTTTGTTCTAGCAGCCTGGCCCTTTATAACTTACCTGTTTGTCTTCCTTCAACTCCTATTCCATTATTTATGTTGTCACTAATATCACTATACTAAACATCACTGCTCTGAGGCCTTAGGATATTTGGTTATTCCAGAAATTACTGGCTAGGACATTCCCTGCAAAACCCCTTAGGTGTTCCGATGCAGATTTCTTTTTCTTTTTGACCTTTTAGTAAGTCTCTGTTTCGGTTCTAGGTGTGAAGCAAGCATTGCCAAATTAGCAGGAGACATCAATACCATCAAGCACGAGGCTCACAAAACTGATAAAGAGATTTACGGTGTGCGCTCTGCCCTTGAAAAGTGTGTTAGTGATTTTGAGAAGAAGGCAAGTAGAGAAACCCAGAGCTATGTTTATATATTGTTTCTCTCCAAAGTTGCTCACCAGTGTTAATGATGGATACAGTATGTAGGCCCTTTGTATGAGTTGTATTTATTAAAACAAGCTTTCCAGGACCCTGTAAAATGGTAAGGATGTTTGTAATAAATAAACATAGGTGTAACTTAACAACAGATAAAAATATTCTAGTATCTGGGGATACTTATTTCATAAACGATCCTTCACAGTTTCTCATTCTAAGTCAAGAGATCCTTGAATCAAAGCAGTACTCTACATTTTAACTTCATCTGAAAATTTCAGGTGCCAGACTTTTGAAATTAGAAAATGCCACATAAATCCACTGTTTTCATTTTAATTTCAAGGTGCTGGCTGGGAGCCATCTAACGGTTAATCTAATTCCATATGACTTTTGGCAGTATTTCAAGTGGTTTTGAGACTGTTCTTTAAACATGGTATTTTCCTTGAAAGGACTTTTTTTTTCTGCAGAGTGGGTATGTCAACAGGGAATAAGAACCGCTGCTGCCTCTGATGCCACCTAGAGGTGGCCTTTTCTTGGGAGAGGTGCACTGTGTGTGACAGCTGTTTTGGAGAACTCAGCCTCTGACAGCATCAGGACCTTTACAAACAACATTTCACAGGAGCCCTGCTGTGGTGGAAGTTCAGTTTTTTAACCCTGCAACATGATAGCTCTCAGCTACATCTCCAAGCTAAACACCGTTTATGGCTGTCAGGATTGAGCTTGATAGTAGATATAGGCGACAATTTCCTATGCCTTAGTATTACCTGCTGCTATGAAAACTACAGTCTTATTACTGTAATTTAACAGCATCTTCTGCTAGGCAAGACACAGTTCCAGTCTTTGTTTTTTTCTTCTTTTACCTTGCCAAGAGAGGCTTCCTCCTATCCAAAGCAGAACTACTCATGACAGACCTTAATTGAAGATATTTTACCTGCAACTCTGTTGTAACATACTGTTTGGACATCTGTCTCCACAAACACACACACACAAAATAAATTTACTTGTTCATTTTCAAGGGAGAGGGAACAGATGTGTGTCAGAATCGCATCAGGCAGCACACAGAAGCATGTAAAAACAAGTTGGGATAGACATTAAGCAGGGGGCAGAACAAACTTCCTCAGCTGAAGAGCGGAAAAATTATTTGAATGTCATCTCAGTTAAGGAGCAGAGAAGCAGGTTTCTGAAAAGGCATCATCTCTCCCTGCAACAGAATAAAGCAGCAAGCCAGGAAAAGGCCCTCAGTGGCCTAGGACTAATGCTATTTCCTGACTCCTGGGGGGGGGTGCAGTTTTCCTTGCAGAACAGTTTCCCATGGAGCTAGTCCTCAGTAGCTCCTTTTCTGCCGTTCATGCCAAACAGATAACAGTGCATTTCCCCAAGGTATTTTCCATGCGTGTATGGTATAAAAAACTCTGAAGAAAAATCCTTGGGACTTCCCATCCTCTCTAATTTATCCTTCTGGGGTAGGTAGGCCCTATCCTGAATCCTGGCTTCAGACTGTGTTTAGGATCACTCTCTGTGAAGAACTCTCAAAGTGAGTCAGCCCAGGCTGCACAGCCCCAAATCAGGGAGGGATATGCAAATAAATAAACAAATAAATAAAACACCCACACATATACAGTTGTCTTTTAAATGATGGGTTTTCCAAGACTGACACCTTGGCTCTACCACCTTTGTGTAGATCTGGGGACACGCTGCCCATGCACACATGGCCTTGCAAAGCCTGCAGCCACAGAAATACTGCCTTCAGTAGGTCTCACAGTCCTAAAAGCCTGAGTGACTCAGCATAAGTTTGCTGAATGAAATTACTTGGGAGAATGTAGCTGTACCTTGATGCCAACTGTTTTTCTCACTTTCTCAATCCTACTGCATACTTAAATAAAAGTGCTACTAGTCAGGCTCATAAAAGTGTTCTCTGTTGAATCCTCATTAGGTAATGCAGCTATTAGGGAAGATAAAGACTTCCAGCTCTGATCAAAGCTCAAATTTAAAGACAGTCCAGGGAGATCCATTCCAAATACCCAGACAAGGTTAATGAAGATCTGTACTATAAAGTAATGAAAATAAGTAATGAAAGTCTATTGCCTTGAAAACTAATTGTTAAAACCAAGAAGCGCTAAATGCCACTCTGTAAGAAGAAAGGTGGGAAACCAATTAGCTTTCCACACTTAAAAGAAAGGCACCAAGCACAAAGATGCTATTTACCATTATAATTGGGGCTAATTTGCGACTTGTCTAATGTGCAGAACATTTTCTTTACACACTTGTGCTGTCTTCCCATATTTTCCTTATGCACTCACATTGTCTTTGTTCAGCACAATTAGTTTGAAACTGAAGTACCATGATCCTGTGATAATGATATTGCAGAGGTAATAGTTCCGTTCCTTAAAACATTGGTTGAACTCTTTGAATTGAGATTTGTCTCAATTGAGTATAACTCTTAATACATTTGAGAGAAAAAAATATACACGAGCATTAAGCATAAAAAGGGTTCTTATCTGGAGAACAAGAAAAAGAATGAAGATAAATGGGGAAAACAGCTAAAACTGGGAAGGGAAGAGGGAAAGATGGAAGAAAAGGGATATGGTGGATGTAAAGACCCCATGCAAGAACTAAGAAATAAAACTAAAATAAGGGGAAAAGAGAAACAGAATAAGGTTGGAAAATAAGGAAACTGGAGAATGGAACTGAAGTGACAGTGGAGTTTCTCAAAAGTTACTTAGATCTTATTGAAAGTGTCACCAAAATTGGGAGACTCAGAAAAAGCTGGATTTCCAGACCTTGAGATATACTCACATTGTGCCTTTGAACACAAAATCCAAAAGGTCTTTTACTTAAAGTTGAGATTTTATTTCATTTCATATCATATTTAATTAAATTAACATCTCCTTTGGGGACTAAGTCTTTCTGTCTCTTCTGCTGTTGGTCCCTTAAAAGCATTCCAGACCAATGTATTATTTTCAAAGAGATGCAACAAAATTTCAGTCTGTACTGCTGGCACGGGCTGATGCTTCCACTTGGAAAAAGGTGATTGGTGTAGGTCAGCCCTGGAGCCCGGTCTGCATTTGAGAAGCTGCTGCCTGGGACACAGCAGTTTGATTGCAGCCCAGCAGCCAAGCTGCAGCCCAAGCTGATGCTGTTCCTGCAAGCCTGATCTAAGCCCAGGACAAAGTTGCCACACAAATTTCAGGGGGACCTGTGCCTGCTTAGGAAATGTGGCCCTGATCTTTCAAGTTGCTTGGGTTAGCAAGCAGTACCTGCACTCATCACTATCGAGTTAATCAAGCTGTCAATAGATCGGTTTACATGTGTGATGCGCTCCAGTTGCAATCCTGGAAGATGCTCTTATTAAATATCCACAAGCATCCCCTCATCAATACTTCATAACTGAGGCAAGTACTGTGGCAAGCTTGGCTCCCCTAGGAAGCATTTGCGTCTAGGATCAGAGCTGAAGAAAATTTCAAATAATAATAATAATAAAATGCCTCTCTGCATAGCCAATCCTGATGCCCACAGGCATCACCCTCTCTCGGCATCTCATGTGCAGCTGCATCCCACCCTGGGCACCCCATCTGAGCTGCACCGTGTGGGCCATCCCACCTCTTCCAATGAACCCATAAGCATCAACACAATGCAACACGTCCCATAAAGTCTGGTAAAAAAAAAATCCTAGTTTGTTTACCTGGTGGTCTGCATCCTAACAGAGGTCCAAACAGTTAAACCTGCAAATCCGACCAACTAAAATTCAACTGCTGGTTGATCACTTATAAGTATATGTCAGAAGCTAGTACGGTTACACCTACACTCAGGTCATGTGCATAAGCATAAACATTTAAATCTCTGACTCAGACTTGGACCTAAATTCGTATCTTGTCATGGCTCATGTTGTAAATTATATGTTGCAGCAGAAGAAAAACAGAAATTGAAAAGATTCGTTTCTCTAAACCATACACCACTGCTCCAAAGGCAGCTGTCCTTTCTCTTTTTACTTGTCAGCTTGTGCTTAGAAACTTCTTCTATCCTTCTGAGCTTCATTTTCTGACCAAAAGTGGCTTTGCTGCTCTTCCACATGACCTGCAACATAGTTAACGTTCAGCCTATAACCTCTCTTCATCCCTTTTGGATGATGTTAATTCAGTTGGGAACGCTTAAGTTATTTTTCAGCCTTCAGATATTTTCCCAGAGTAGATCACAGTCCACAAGACTCATCTTGGCACGTAGGTACAACTTTTAAAGAAAGAATTAGTAAAATAATTGAGCGTAGGGTTTGGTAGGCTGGTGAAATGATTAGAAAGCCATTTAAACTATCTACTCAAGTGACTCAAACTCCCCCATACTACTGACTAAGTATCAGGCCCGTTGTTAGATAAATGCAATAGTAATAAAATAATAATAATTTCAGGTTGGCAAGTACTCTAAATGACTTCAAAGCTCAAATACAGACTCAGCAGAAGTGGACAGAGATGCAGCTGTCGAGGTACGAGCAAGACCAAGCCTACCACAGGAGTCAGCTGCTTCACTCAGTGAAGGAGCGACTGGTAAGACTTCCTAAAAGTGAACGACAAACCAAATCACAAACCAAACCAAAAACAGCTCCTTCCCGCTCCAGAACACCAGCGCCACCGGTGAACACCGCTAAAATTTCAGTCGCTGACAAGTTTAGGGGAGGATCTTCTTCAAGGATCTTCTATGCAAATTCTGCCTGTGTTTAAATACAGGAATTTCTTTCTCATTTTGCCATCCATATTTTGTAATCTGCAGTTAGGATTCCACAGCAGCACCTAGCTTTTGGCACAGGACCATTAATATTTCCATTAAGTCCTTAGCAGCATTGAAAGCTTTCTCCCCTTTGCTGCGTGCAGTGCTCTCAGTATCAGAGTGCAAAACATATTACAATGCTATTACCATGTCTTACCATGAGGTTGAGGAAGCAGTCTCATGGTAAGACATGGGAATAGTATTTATGAGGGTTAGGAAGCGAGAATTCATGATTGCCAGAAGGCAGTTTAATGGTGGCTGTATGAAAGGTTTTGCTATACATGTGTTGATATGTTGTCTGTCTAAAGGAAACAGCAGAAAAGAGACTAGAAGAGAAGATTCTGCTTCTCTCTCTGAAGCTGGAAAGAGCAAATAGGTCGCACAAGTATGAAAAGCAGTTGGATCAGATGAAGAATGATGAGAAAGCCCTGCAGGCAAGAATCACTATGTTGGAAAGACAGGTCTGGAACGAGCTGGAGGAAGTCCAACGTGAGTATAGATCAGGTGAGGATGGTCTTTCCTTTGACTTATTTGTTAAATAAAATTAGCACAGGATTGTAGCTTGCTGCTGCAGAAAACTCTTTCCAGAAAAGTAAAGAAAAAAAAACATGAGGATGACTATTTCTCTCTCCCAAACCCCATTTACATGGGTGCTATTTTAAAATGGCTTGGTTAGCCTGCCTGTCAGTGCAGAGAGCCAACACACTTTTCCCACACAGATTGCTTTTTTCTTTCTGAATGTCTCAAGGCAAGATCTTTTAAAAGACAATTTTAGAACCTGCTTTGTGAGTCTTTACGATCAGCTAGTTCTTCCATTAACAAGGTTGCTTGCCTCCACTGCAAGGGGCAGTGTTTTTTTCCACAGGTCCAAGCTCCTATTTGATAGGTTTTATATCATTTTCATCCCTTCCTCCCTACTCTCAATCAACAGTATCTGGAGACAGAGACATCTGAGTGAGTAACAGCTACCCTACATAGCCCAGAGATAACCCAAGTGAAAAAATGAAGAATTTAGGTAACGTTGGTCAATACCCAACAGTCATTGCTTACAGGAAAGGGCATCTTAAAGCAGCTTGTGCTCTGTGCATTGCATTCGCCAGCTCTCAGCTCATTGTGGCTGCTCAGCTTTCAGCAACGCTTAGAGAGGTTTCATGGAGCACACTGTTTGAGCAAGGGGGATTCACCCTCTGATCTGTCCCGTGCCACTCAAACATGATCTACTGTAATACCTTCTCCTCGCATCTGGACGGCCACGTCAGCTTATCCAAGAATCAGCCAGCCATCTCTCTGAAGGAACAGATGGCTGAACGTGCTTCACATTTCACTTGTTCACACTTGAAACTCTAGAGCCTGTTTCCCATCTCCAAAGTTTCCTGCCCCCTAGGACCCCAGCTCTGCGTCCCAGCGCCAGCTCTAGGGCACTCCTCACCCCTTGCCAGCCCTCGAGGGGCTGGAACAAACCACCCTCTGTGTCACAGAGCATCTCTGCATGGCATGGCAAGGACGACCTGGGCTCTCTGAGATCATCTCAGCAAGTACAAGACCACAAGGAGTGATGCAGTTTAAAAAAGAAAATCAGATCTTTCAGATCCTGGTGCTGTGAGAGCTCGATTTCAAATTCCTGCCCGCAGAAAGTTTGGTAATACCAAACTTTGGTCCTCCTCACCTCCCAGCTCACATGCACCGATGCTGTCCCCCAAGGCAATCCTCTAGTGTGGGCAAACCCAAAAGAGGGGGAAACGAGGCAACTGAGAAGGTGCAGAACAGCAGGACGGCCAAAGAGCTGCCACTTGTGTTTAGCGCAGGCTGGCACCTTAGAAAGGGGAGGCCTGCTTGGAATTCATAAGACTCTAAGCACCACACAGCAATTTGGCTGCATGCTATCTAGACCGTAGCTGCAACCAAGTTGATGCATATTAAACAGTCATTCCAAAAGGAAAAAACCTGTCATCAGCTGTCACATTACCATGCAGGCACTTTTTCCCGCCACCCCCACCCGTTAAAGAAGAATTAGCTGTAATCTGCTGTTTGCTTGCTAATAAGCTAACATCTATGTGACAAAGTGGACAAATGTCAAGTGATTACTTGGTAATTTGAAAGCGGCTGCAGTCTTGAAACAGCAGGCTAGCAGCTGCTTATAATTCACGTTTTCCCAGTCTTCAGTGACAACAGTTGATTTTCCTGAGGTTCAGCAAACGGATGTCTGAGAGTCCCTAGCTCTATTTTAGAAAAAAGTTCAACTTCCATCTTGTTATATTCTTACAAATATACACAGGCACACACTGAGCTCCCTTTCTCCCAGCAGCGTACAAAACCAGTTCTCCCAGTAGATAAAAGCACTTCTACCTTGGAAGAAGTGTAATTCTTCTTTACATTTGCCAAAATAAAATACTTTAAAAGCCATCAGGATCCTTAGCTCTACGGGGCACATGGTACTGTCCTTACCCCACACAAGGAAGGCAAGAGCAATTGCCATTTGCAGTTCTGTGCAATCAATCCTGTTTGGTGTTGCCCAGTACATTTCTAAAGCAAAGCTCTAACAATATAAACTGCTCTTATATATCTATGGCATTCAAAAAAGTAATGAAATTACTAGATTGGATTTATTGTGCTGGGAATTAAATGGTGGTCAGAAACCTCCACAAAGGAAAAGTAGAATCTCTTAATGTACTGAAAGCAACCACTACTTAATTAACTCTTCTCATTCTTATATCAGGATTTCAGTCCATTCGTGAGTCTCTGGAACTGCTCAGACAAATACAGAACACAAAGCTGAAACTTGAGAAAAAGAAAATTCGGAAGGACATGACAAACATATGATGCAACTGAATCCAAGCTGCAAGAGCAAGGCCTTACCAGGGCAGCCTGCAGGAGCCCTCTCCACTTGATGATTTAAAGAAAGAAAGAAAAAAAAAAAGTGTTTTTTTTTTTTTTTTTCTGCTTTTGTTTTTTCCCCATCCTTGTAGGATGTTATTTAGGATGTTATTTCTATGCATCATGCTCTGCAGGCCCAAGTCTAATGGTTCTGCAACAAAGATCCTTTTCATGCTGATTTTAGAACAAAAAATATTACAATCTAGAAGGCGAAAAACACACAAAACCCCTTAAGGATTGACTTAATTTGACAAGCAGCTTTCATACAAACACCTTCAAGTTATTTTAAGGAGTTTTAGAGATGCGTTATCAAGGTTGAGAGCACTGTTAGGCCAGGCTTACCCTAAACTGGTAGGTTTTAGGTTGGTACATAGGCTGACATCAGGCCTAGTAAACTCCCAGCTCCGCTCAGTACAAACATAGTAGCAGCATTATGAAAACTGAGAACAGATTGCTTGCATGATTTGGATCAATTATCCAAAAAAAAAAAATGTTACTGAATCATCAATTGCAGCTAATAAAGAAAAGGGGATGAAGGTGACTATGCAAGTTACTTATGAAAAGATGCATTTTTAAGAATCTCATCTTCATTTCTGTATCACTGAAATAAAATTTTGGTGGGTAGCAATTAACACTCAAAATTACATTTTTGATTTGGTTCAAAAATTTGGAAATTAAACAGCTCCTAGGTGTAGGACGAAATGTATATCAGTATATTTTCTCAGCAGATCTTGAAAGGAGTTTCTTAGTCACAAGGTAAAACAAGATCATATGTGTAACAAAAATGTAAATTACTTTCAGAAAGCTTAACTGGAGAAAGTGTTTCACATCATCCATCTTCAGGAAAACATATTTAAGGGGACTCATAATCCTCCTATTACAATTTCTTGTGCCTTTAACTCTGCAAAAAGATGAATTTCTCCAAACCACAGCCTTCCCATGGCTTCCCGGACGACCCTGGCCTGCACAGCAGGACCACTGAAGCTGGACCATGCCACAAGCTGGGAGTTCCCCTTCAGCAATGAACAACCCTCTTCCTGCATGGAGGACCTTTCCTACGCTAAAATTTCTCCAGAGTGTAAAAAGTTCTAGAAATGACTCCTACAAATGCAGCAGTAGCAACCAAATTCAAGGAAACGTTTGCACTTTACTTGTGGTTGGTGCATTTCAAGGACCTTCCCTTCAAAGGGAAGGAAAGTTAAACTTATCCCAGAGCACAGTCAGGTGGGCTGCAGGATTAGGGATGTAACTTTTCCTTGCAAAGGTGCATTTGCGCAGCACTGAAACAGTTCTCTACGTCTATATATCCATGAACTGAAAAAAAAAATCAAAGTTGCTCATCACACAAAAGCATCCAGGAACTGAAGTACACATTTGTGCTTTTGTTCAAACTGTTAGACAGAATTACCTAAATGAATGTAACTACCTACCATAGGTAGGTAGAAATGAGAAGCTCAAGAGCTGAATAGAAACCCAGGAAGAGAAATATAGAGAAGTAAGAGAAATAAAACCTACTGAATTCAGAGAGATTAACATACATATCCTATTTCAGTTAAATATTCTCAGGCACAAGCTGCTGTGCCATGTTTATATAAGAAGAAATGTAAGAAGTAGTATCTTAAGTCAGTAAAGTTCTGCTATTTCTGCTAATAAAAAAGGGGGGGGAGGGGAAAATGTTTATTTTTCCCCTCCTCTTACATTAGTAATAGCCAAGCATAAGGTTTTCTAGCTAGTGAAATCCATAAACCAACTCTCAGTTTTCCTTTAGAGTGTTGCTTAAAATTCCAAGTACTACACAAAAAAACACGTAAGGGTGTATGAAATACTAAGTACTAGTACTAAGTACTTAGTACTACTCTTTTTTCAGTAGCTCTTCAGGCCTTCTGCAAGTGTGGATTTTGCAGAGGCTGTGCATTATTCAAAACAGAGGAGAGAAAGGCTTTTACCTCACAGTTTCTTGAATTTCACAAAATCTTCAACTGAAATTCATTCCCTGGACATTGGTCAAGTAGGTGGCAAAGGTGTGTATTCTTTCTGTAGGGCATATAATACAGCTTTGGGCTGTACATATAATTATCATGTTCAAGGAATTCGCCACTGCTCATATTAAAAATGAAGCAACTTCATGGTCTTCTGAAGACAGAAAACACCATGCATTTTGTTTGTTTGTTTTGAATATGCAGAATATTTGCAGTTGACACTTGCTTACCTGGCTTCTCTAACTTTGTTATTTGCTTTTTCTCCTAAGCCTTATGAAATGTTTAAGGTAACAGTCTGGTAGAGATATTTCTGTAATGCCTTAATGAGGGTGGGCAGCAAGTTACTATAATCAGTCATCAGGCTAGGGCTGCTGGCTCTCCCATCACCTGAGCAGGTAGCACGGAAATAGCAGAAGCAAATACAGAGCTACAAACTGCAGGCTGCAAGAACTCTCCAAGCTGTAATTGCAGAAAGCTAAAAAAAAAAAAAAAAAAAAAAAACACGTTAGAGCTAATCCGTGGAGGTAACATTCTTCTTTTAATATTTCAAGTTCAGAATCCATCAAGACTATGTGACAACAAGCTGTGAAAGGAACCACAGTTGGTCTAGATTTGACAAAAAGAATCTTTTTAAGGAAAGGTATTTTGTATTGAGAAGGGTAGGAGAATGATAGTGTGGGAGACAAGGAGGGATTCTTACCATTCAGAGAGCTCACCTCCACAGAACAGAAGACCTCCTGAGCTTCCTTTTCCTGTTTAAAATAGCAAGGCAAGCTTGCTGCCCTGCCTTCCCTACATGTCTGTGTGTGACTGCTACTGGAGATGTACGAAGGAGACGTCCCCAGACCACCCCACTCGCCAGTGCAGCAGCTTGCTTTCTTTAAAGCCCAAAATAACCCGCCCTGCAAGCAAAGAGATGCTGAACTCAGCCACACACCGCATGTATTGCAACTGTCCTTTCTCCTCTGCAATAAGAGGTATGCTGCACACATCTCAACAGCATCCTAAGATTTCAGTAGGCAGATAGTGCCTTTAAGAAATTTTAAACCAGAAATGGACAACTATCTTGACTCTGCTGTCAACAGCTTGAAAATCCAATGATAGTAACATTAGAAGATGAGAATCATGGCTTTATTCTTTTATTTTCATGTACATAAAGGGCAAAATAAAATCATGTATTAAGAACTACTGTCATGATTCATCCAATTAAGCAGTCAGCAGCAAAATTACCAGGACATAAATAAATCCCATTATACACATTTATATATATGACCCTGTCCCTAATGATCACAGGCTTTTCTTGATGGGAATGTTTACTGAAACATGTACAGTCAAGAGGATCCAATATACTGTTGTGATTAAGGTTAGATAAGAAAACAAAACAAAAACACCCACCTTACAAACTGAAACAACACAATGTTCCAAGCAGATTTGGGTCTCTACTACAAAAAAAATACACTAAAGGAATATGGCATTTTAAATTTCTGTTTATCTGGGAGAGGGGGGAAAAAATGCTTGCTGCTGTTTGGCTACTAAGGCTCTGTTCTAAGAGGGAGAAAAAAAAAAGGAAAAAGAAAAAGAAGCTTCTTCAACTTTGCATCACTGCCAATGCAGCTAATATTGTCTTCTCTATGCGCGACCAAGCAGGAATAAAGACAAGGACTTCCCATTGCAATAGCACTGCATTTTCAGCAGGGAATAAAAAATGGTAGTGCCCATGTCAACAAGTAAACAACCTGCTTTTGTTAGAAAAAAAAAAAAAAGCAATTGATATAGAGACAAAAAACACAAAGAAATTAAAAAATACTCAAGCTACATAAGCTTCTGGAGGATGGCCTAATTAAATGGTGTAAATTTTGTACTTGAAACAGTCCATACTAGGCACTTGATGACAATTTCTCATTTAGTTCTAGAGCTCGAACATCTCCATTAGCTTTTGCATTTTCTACAAGTACCTGCAGAGAAAACAAACAGGAAATTGAGAACTTGATGTTTTTACTGCTAATATATTACCAGTTATTTCAAAAAAAAAAAAAATCTGCTATGCACTTTCCCTAAAAATCTAAATAATCTGCAAGTCCCGACAGGAAAGATATTCAACACGACATGTAGCTCAAACATTAAGCTCCAAAGTCACAATCACTTGCAATGCAGCACGGCAGCATCATTTGCTGCTTGTGGCCGAGAAAACATTTGACAAGTTTCCTGCTGACACAGAAGCAAATACACAAATTGCTCTGCCAAAATGGAGCGAGTGTATCTGGTGCATCTACTTAAACAAAACTGTGTTTTTCTTCCTCCTCCCTCCATCCAATTTAAAAAGAAAATTAAGAAAGACTACATCTATCACTTGTATTTACAGCCTTTCTACTAGTTAAAATAGCTGCCATGTCAGTCTAACATTTACAGATGTGCCAGGGGCTTATGACATTTCTCATAATTTCAGTAGTATTATATATTTAAAAAAAAAAGTAAATCTTGACTCTGACCATTATTTTTATTGCACCTTGTACCTACTGGTAGAGAGTACGGATGGCTGCCCACAAGTAAACATAACGAGATTATACCAGGATCATCTGAACTCATTATTTCTAACTCTTTTACAGATCTTGATGATTGCACATGGATTTCTGTCAATGCTGAGTCTACTGGATATGTTTGACCTTGCAGAACTTAACTGAAACACAGTGGCTAATCAGGGCAAAAGAACTCAGGGTACCAGGGGCAGCAATCCAGAGAGCGGCAGAGTCTTCCTAGTAGAGAGTACTGAAGTTTAGGTGACAAAATGATTCCAATTACAAGACAAAAAGGAATAACCTTTGTTTGCAGTATGCAAAAGAGCTGTGTGGATTTGCAAGTTTGACCAAAATGTATTTGTCAAGTACTGTAAACCGAGAAATAAGGCACCATTATAGTATAGTAAATATGTAAAGTATAGAGGCATGGCAAGCTACTGTTCAGATCTTTCAGGTCAAGGAAACCACACTGTTCCCAGCCAATCTCAAAGGAATTAGCATCTTCATAAAGTATTAACATGTTCTGGCAAAATTCTGATAAATCTGTCCTCATATCTACTGGAAAGAAGCATGTAAAACTTTTTCCAATTTACGGTAGAGAAAGAAAAGTGTTGTTTTTCATCAGTATTGCATGGAGGAGGAGCAAACATCAAAGCAAACTCCATGCAGTTTTGAAAACTGAGGTGATTTTGCTTTTCCTCAAAATTTTGTGGAATCTTCAGACCTACAATCTGTAGAATAAGAGAGCTGCAATCTCCCAGGCCACCCTTCACTCCATTTTCAAGATAAAAGCACATTATTTCACAGAAGCAGATTTTCTGTATTAAAATGACTGTCTTACATCTATTAATTCATAATCATCTTTGGCATAGAGATGTTGTAGGAGGTACCAGCGTGCCACAGAAGCTATGTTTTCTGGAATTCCAGGCTGATATACCAATCTTTCCAACATTCGACGAGTCTCCCTAGAAGCACAGCAAAAGCATCATTCGATAAACTGCAAAACTTGGCTGACTAGATGGCATATAACTTTTAAGACCTTTAGATGCCTCTTTAGATTTTTAGAGCACATTATTATCCTGTTTAAGCAACACTAATCAAGAGCACCATAAAGGAATGTCCTTGTTTCCATACTACCCATGCAAGTGGGAAGTGAGCTGCTGGTTCCTTGATTTCCTATGTGATCACTGCTTTTCACCCAGAAGCCCCATTATGTTTAATATATGACATACAAAATTAGTGCTTTAGCTAGTAAATGCCCCAGAATTAGATGGAAATAGCTGATTTTGACTGCTATGACAACACGATAAACCTCATGCTGTCTCTGAACTCAGCCCAACATCCTATTTACATAGGTGATCTGCTTAACAATACAGCAGATATTCTGTCGTTTAGCAACTATAAAATAAATCCTTTAGGTAACGGATGTTTCCATAAGACAGAGCTATTAAAATAAGAGTCTTCTTAATCCCCAAGTATTTTAATATTACACACAAACATATTTAAATCCATGACTCATAAAACATACTGCATTTTAATATGCAATAGAAGAAAGATGTGAAAAGGCAGAACAGGAGGGAAATTTGAGAAGTATGAAGCAATTAAAATCCTATTTGGCTGAAACTTGCTGCCAACTCGTACCAAATCCGGACATATTCAAGCTCACTGCTGTGTTGATAGAAAGCTAGTAAAAACTGGCAGTTAAGTTTAAAGTTACGGTTTTCATTCACTGTTGCTCCATCAGCTTTGGCTGCTCTTTCAAGAATTCTGTCCTTTGTAACTAATGCAGTTTTCCATTGCAGGGTGATTTAATGGGCTGTTGAGAGATTACAGCTGTTTGAGTTCTTTTGTTTGTTTGTTTTTAGTTAAGACAAACTTGTTCCAGTATTTTGAAACATCTAGCAAGACCAAACAGATTTTGTGATATGTCTGTTTTTCAGGGAGCTGGACATGTTCAACTGTAATAAAACTGATTTAATTGATTTAGTTAATCAGCTCCCTCACTTTTTAAAAAAAAAAAAAAAATTAACAATGGCCACATAATCACATTAGGATGCCTGTCACCTTTCTACAAGTCCACAGAAAAAGCAAGCAAGCTCAGACTCTTTAGAAGTTAGTTTCTAAGAAATATGTAACAAAAACAGTTAAAATATTGAAAAACAACAGAACACATGCTATATTCCATTTTTCCACGGCTAGATATGCAAAAGCTTCAGATGCAAATTAGGAGACTTAAAACCAAAGTAGAAAGACTCAAATCCTATTCAAAATAAGGTATCTTTCTCTCCTTCCTCGAAAAGCCCCAATGAGCACCTCCAGTTGAATAACCTTCTGTTATTCATGATTAGAAGTAATTGCAGCAAAGTCTAATTTGATACCAAGTTGGACCCAGCACTAGCTAGAATATTGATATTTGTTTCTACCATGCTAATTAGCACTGTCTTAGGCAAATGTATACTTACTGACTATAATTTTTTGCATTGCATGCCTTTGTTTACCAGAAAAGCTGTCTTTTCTCTTGGTATCTTGGTCATCTAAAAGCTTCTGGGAAGAGATGAAAATTCTGCTTCCTTATCCCTACACTGCCAGCCCCTAGCCCTTTTAAATGCCATGTCCCTTCAGTATTTCTTATTTTCAGTTTTCCTTCTCGAGTTAGATCCAGGCATACTGACCGCTCTTGCTTTTAAACATTGTGTTCCTTCCAAACATAATAGATTACACCTACCTGGCTCCAATTTTCTGATTATACTGTAGCAGGGCCTGCAGAAGAGCTGCCAGAGGGCAGGGAGAAAGCTTCAGGGCTTCAGTTGTTGCCTCCTGAACCAAGGCTGGCCAGTGCTCATCTGAGACCTTAGCCTATGTTTAAAACATACACAAGGATTAGGGCTTTATTGCTGCGAAACATCAGAATTTGTTTACAGTTGCTTAGAGAGTAGGTTTAATCCAAGCTGTTCTGAATTGCATAAAATATTTGGCAGGTTAGAAAGATTTGTAAACAAACAAAACCAGAGAAACACACAGAAACTACATTGATTAGAGGAACCTGGAAAAAAATACACTAAGTATCCTTGAGAGCATTTATTTCCTCATTTGTGCAAGGAAGCATTTTATTTTTCCAAACATGTCTTAGAATTTTTTTTGTTTTAATCACAATCTCGTCTGCTCTTCACTTTGCAAGTCTCATGCCAAATACCAGACTATTCCAGAAAGTGCAGCTATCCACAGAAGTGACTGAGGAATTCTAACGTCTTGCTTTGAAAAGTATATCCAGTTTCAAGATGGGCAATTTAATTACCTAATGGAACAATTATTCAGCAAATTTGTACATCTTCTGACTTACAGAAAACTTATCTTCCTTGTCAGAAGTAGTTGCCTGAATTAAAGGACAGAGACTTGAGGGGTGGGTCAGTTTGGATGATCAAACTGAACCTGAGCCATATGGAAATTGATCCATATGGATCAAACTAAGCCATATGGAAAGAATCAGCCTATATTAAAAAACCAAAACCAAACCAAACAAACAAAACCACACACACATGCACATTGTGCAAAGGACTATCCCGGGAGCTATCCTTTTAAGTCTTATTTTGTTCTCAAGTTGTCATTCATAAAATGCGAAGTTGTTTAAATAATGGTTTCATTTGGAGATTACAGAAGCCCTGCCTTACACAAACTATTGTTAAACCACTAGTTACATAACTGTGATGATCTTACCATGCAGATTTCCAGTGCAAGCATGGCTAGCCTGAGCAGACTGGATAACTTCCCGCTCCAGTTGCCCTGCTGTGATGCCAGCTGCAGGCTCTTTCTGTAACACATCTCTGCTGCAACCATCATTCCTTGAGATTGATACACACTTGCCAGCCACTGAAAGTAAACAGCCAACACATCAGTTAGCAAGTCTTCAAAATGTGCATCGCATCAGGTAATACCATTTAGTTCAATTTAGGAGAGTGAGACAGCAAACTTAGCTAGAACACAGCCCCTCTCCTTCACTCCCCTATTCCCACAACATACTGAATACTTCCCTAGAGGAAGATGTAGCTTTCTGACTGCAGAGCTGCCAGTGCACCTCACTGCAGTAATTTATCCCACAGACACTTTTAACCATCCCTGTCAACTAATAGCTGTTCTCATCTGCAGACTGGCCATGGATGAACAAATAATGTGTTTGGCTTTGTCAAGCAAGGCACTGTGGGGTGCCTTGCTTGTCCTCAAAACTTCTGTAGAAATGAAAAGTTGGAGCTTCTCCCCTTGAAGGAAGGTTCCTCCAGGCTACGTGAGCAACGTTGAGAACATGAGGACATTAGAACTTGCCATCTGAGCACAGAAAACCAGGGTACCTCTTTGGTCTCACAGCTTTTGATGCAGCAGACTTGTGCTTGACTTGCTACATGGGGCAGAGGAAGCAACACATGCACAGATCTGTGGTTTCAGGCTTCTGCCAGCTTTCCTGGGATTGCTCCAAGAGGAGGAAAAGGGTTCTCACCCCTCCCTCATTAATCCTTTAGCCGTGCATGAAGATATTCCAAAATGCCTAAGACATTTAGAAATATTTTTTGCTGGGTCACCAGGCTAACAAAGAAGCTTAAAGATTCCCTCACTTTTAACAAAGATCCTTAGGCTTTCACTACCTAAAGACTGCTCAGTGTTGAGAGGCACAAGTCTAAGCTCTTTCTGATGCACGGCATTTATTAATCATTAAGCACTTTCTGGAGTTTCTCTTCTGTTAGTACTACTGTGTATTCCTGACTCCAAGCTGTAAGATGTCTTTGTGAAAGAAAGCATCCACTCGGGATGCTTTCGAGCCTTGGAAGGCTTCACTGGCCTCAGCATGCTGCAGCTGGAGATACCTACAACTCAAGACAGGAAGGAAAGCAGCAAGAGGATATTTAACAAATATGCAGTGGTAGCCCTAAAAGGTCAGCTTTTCACTATTGCCCTGTAAGTCACAGTGTAAAGGTGGAACAGCCATAAGAAAAGCAGTTTAGCAGCACTCCCAAATAACTATGAGAACTATTTTGACAAAAGCCAAAAATTTAGACAAAAAGCAAAGTTAATGACTCCTCTAACTTAATAGCACTGTAGGGGATATTTCCAAGTAAGGCAAAACATATATCAAACCATTAAGAAGCTTAGAGCTAGAAAATATGAAAGCATAGACTTATCCATTACAAACAGATGTAGCAGCCATGGAAGCTTTTTCAGGACACCATCCAAGCTCTGAGATTAAAGTATCTTCTTTAAGTAAATACCAGAAAGATCTTGCCCAAAGGTCTCTGTTTTTTAAAATCTGGGTCAAAAGTAAACCAACCTTCTTCCTCACAAAAACTCAACCTTCTCCCTCACAAAAACTCAAACTTTTTTTTCTTTTGCTGTTTGTGAGCAAGGTGGCACTTTACCATGCAAGGGATGCTTGAAGAATATGACCTAAACCCCTAACTCCATTTTCAAGATTGTTACTAAAATAACAGAGTATATCATGTCTCTCTCCCATGCCCCCATTTGTTACAAAGCCAGTTTAAGCAAGTACTGTAGCTAAGGTGCAATGACATCTCACAAGCCATGGTCTGCAGTCTTATAACAAGGCAACTAATTTCTCCAGGATCTTCTCTCTGGTCTTTTGGCACTGAAATCACTTTAGTGAAACTAAATGCAAAAACGTTTTTACTTATTCAACAGGCAGGGGGAGTATCATCTATCCCAGAGCTATCCAGCTACACACAGCAGCGCAGCAGTTCACAGCATCTTTCTAACCCTGCTGCTAGGAGGAGCGGGTGAAGGGCGGCGGTTGGGAGAGCGTGGGCGCGCGCTCCGCGTGGCCGGGCCCCGCCGGTGCCTGCCGACGGCCCCTCGCATCACCCGCAGGGGCGGCGGGAGCTGGATGATGAGAACTGATCACTTGGGATCCTGCGGAAGGCAGGCAGCAAATGCTGCTCCGAGTGTCTTTTCTCTTTCTTGCCCCCAGCCTCAACTGACTCAAGAGAAGCAGACACTCAACACAAGGAAATAAAGCAGAAAAATAAAAAGAGGTTTACCCCAAGTTTCCATACCTTGAAAAAGAAAGCACACATTAGCACACTAGGAAACCATTTACTTCTATCTGTTCTTACAGGTTATGAAATATTCTACTCATATCTGCTCAGCCTGCCATGTCACAGATTCCTAAAGGAAAAAGGGTCATATGTTTACTTGCAAGTTTTTCTTTCTCTTGTCTCTAAGTCAGCTTCTTATTAATCACAGTCCTTGTTATTTCAACCATTAAAGAAAATTCACCTCATGTTACAGTTATATGAAACATTGAATATGAGATGGCTTCCGTCTCGCTGGCTGTCAGTGGATGCCTAAAAGTAAAGAGAGAAACAAGCCCACTCGGCTCACAGAGCCCACTGAACAGGGTAGCGCTGAGGACTTACCTGCCATGCTGCAACTGTTGAGCTGCTCATGACCGTCTTGCGAAGCTCCTCCAGGACAGTGTCTGGAAGGTCTTTGTGAGACTGCAACAGCTGCTTACACTGAACTTGTCTCAACAGCAAGAACAGACCTGGGTGCTCTGGGCAGCTTTTCAATCCCTAAAACCAAACCAGAAGCATTTAAGACATCTGAAATAACATTTCCAAATATCAGAAAACGCTTAGCTTTTTCCATTTGGGTCTTCACAGAAAACAACACTGAAAATATTCTCAGAACATTTTCAAGAGAACATTCCCCCCTCATCCACTTCTCTGTACAAGGACTGGTCCAGAAAGTGATACTTGATTTTTTTTTTTCCCCTCTCCTCCTGTTCCCAAAATACATATGAAATCTACGCTAAGTTTTATGCATGTCCCACTTTTAGAGGTTTCTGAAAGCTAGCTCTATCTTTCTAAGCAAGGAAAGGCAAACAAATCCTTTAATTATATTCTGCCTTCATGATCATTATGAGTTTCAGGGTAATAAAAGCAAAAACCAGTCATAAGGCCAGAAGTGATATTCAGTATTTTATAAGCAATTTTGGTTCTTTGAGAATAAAGTGTCTTATTCTCCCAGGATTAGAAACACCTTACTACACTCTGATCAGTAAAATCACATAGAGAGTTTATTTCTTAGAACAAACCCATCCAAAAGAACAAAGCAAGAAAAACAGCCACCTGCTGCTTTATTCTACTCAGGTGAAATATTTGATATTTCTGCAAATCATACAATATTTAGTTTACCTTTTCAAACCAGGAAACATCTGAGAATTTTAGAAAAAAAATTAAAATGGAGCTAAGACACAATGCCTACATTTTTCTTCTACTCTCTTGCCTCACCTTTAAGCAAAATATATTGCTTGGGGATTCTCAACAAGCTTCTTTTTTGCAGAACATGCGTATGTAAGATAATTTATGATGAAAAAATATTCCAGATGCTTAATTTTCCAGAGACAAGGCATGAAAGCCCATGTAGGAGGCAGGTGTTTGCTGCATTTTTCCTTCCTTTAGCATGTGTGAATTTTGCTTTGTGTGCCTCTGACTGAGGAAAGGGGATGCCCGACTCATCATCCCCAGTTACATTATTTTCTGCTAATGTCAAGGACAAAACTGTCTACAACCGTTAACAGTGCCAGAGAGGCTGATTCCCTGTTTCTTCCTAAACTGCAGGCACTGACTGTCTTCACACCACACTAAGTATGTAAACGGATAGTAACTGTAACTAACCCACATCAACACCCTGAACTATCACTACATATATGTGGAGATTTGCAACTCTTGTAAATATAAAGCAGATCAGTAGACACGGTGCTCAGGCAAGTAAAACACCACCCAGCAAAAAATGAGATAGCAAATTATTTCACTCTACAAAACCAGCATCTTTACTGAACTTCATCTTTAGGAATTAACTCATTTCCCAAGGAGTATTTTCCTTTGAGAAAATATGGGACCCGGGTGACTGAATTTTACTGTTACTTTGTTCATCTTTTGCAAAGTTTTTTTTTATTCACAGAAACATGAAACGGGATCATACGGATACTTCAAGCTTGCTAAGACAATAGTTGACAACTGGGCTGACTCAAGACTTCTCTTTTAATTATTAAACTTGGATATCTTTTTCTTTGGTGCTATCCTTAATGATGCAGGCAAGCCAATCTTTCTTCTCTTTGTAGTCAGGACTGAATTTAGTTTCTGAAGCAGAGAACCAATACAACTCAACAACAGTTTGCCTTTGTCAGTCTCATACACCTGGATAGGAAGCTTTGAAATTCTGTAATGTTTCACTTACTATTAGGTTACTGATAAAAGGAGATTAGGAAAGACCAAGTTTTGCTACAGCATGTCATATCTTACTTGCTTCAGCTATTTACACAGTTTTGGTACTGTAGGTATAATTATCATCTTGGGTGTGGAGCTGAGGGAGAGAGAAGCACCAGTAACCACTGCAGTTAGCAGCTCTTGTGGAACAGATGGACTAATTCAACGATCACGTTTTGTAAAAGCACAGTCAGGCAAGGCATAATTTTAATGCAATTTACCACTTTCTGCCAGTATATTGGCATCATACCTTGGTACAAAGTGCTTCAGCTTCTGAGATCCTACCCGTCTCTTCTAGACTGGTAATAGCTTGACACAGAGACCAGTCTTCAAGAGTCTTGATGTAACTAGCTGGGAGGTTGTTTTCTCCAGCTGCAACTACAGATAAAAAGCCTTTACTGTACAAGCTGTAGTGCCATACCATGTCATACACTTTAGACATAGTAAGAGTGTACTAGTCTGATGAGGCTTCCTTCATTAGGAAGAATATCAACAGATGATGGAACTGAAAACCAAGATGGGACGGGGGAAACACCAATCATTATGAATTAATACTCTGAATAATCAAAAAAACATGGAATTTTAATTTATGTGAAAAATATTAAGGACCTCATGCAAGGGTGAGGTTTATTAATATGGTTTCTCTACTAGAAAAGTTACACCACTTGCCCACTACTTGGGGCTTGTTTTGGTAAACTGTTCTTTTGGCCCAATACCTTCATCCATTCATTCAGGTATCAGTTCAGCAGTGTTTTCCAAAAAGTGTTTGAGGGGGCTGGAGGAGGTGGGGAGGGAAGGGTTCAGAGAAACTATAAGCATGTTAATTAAACCTAACTCTGACCCTGTCATTTAGTTGGCTTATGGGAAAAATACAGTTACAACTCAAATCACTACCAAGGGATTCTCAGATTATTTACAAACTTTTATAATTCAGAAGAATATTGCAAGCTTAGTTTATTTTCACTAAAAAATGCCATAGATCTTACCTTGGGCTGAAATTGTAGATACAAGAGTCATCTCTAGATCTGTTCGCTTCGGCTCAGCGTTGTTTAGACAAGCAATAGTGTTTTCAGCATGACAGGCTGCCATTAGCACTGCCCAAGCAGCAGGATTATCTAGGAGAGAATCATTAAAAGAAACTTTTCTTAATACATTCCTGCCTTTTCTTAATACATTCGTATACCATGTAAAATTATCTTTACCACACAGAGAACATAGCTATTAATAGAGCCAGTATATATCATATGCAAGAGATAACAAAAACAAGGCAAATAAGTCAACCAGATGCTTACATCTGCTCAGCTCATGGCAGCAGGCACTGTAATTATTTTCCACTACTAGGCAAGATACTTCAAATCCTACCACAAGGATGGTGCTTCTAAAGCTATCTAATAGTTTTTACATGACCACTGCTATCCTTATCTGGAGCTGTTTTGTTTTTCTCCCTCGTCTGGTTTAATTCAACAAGCCAAAACTTAAAATGACAGCTAGAAGTTCAACTCCAAGTAATCTCCACAAAACACACGGGCGATCAATCCAAGAGAAGCACCTTCTTTGTTTGGGCAAGAGTTTTGTTTCTGGTAAGAGAGCAATCAAAAACCAAGGAAACAATCAAAAAACACTAGTAATGTTAGAGAACAAGAGTAACCTGGACAGAGATGGATTGCCTTTTGAATATTCTTCAGCGGGTTGTTTTTCTGGTCTTCTGATGAGTGACATCCTGCTGCCAACTGATTTACTGCAATGTTCAACAGATCTTTCTGCAGAGATCACAAAAGTGATTTTTAGCAGTCTAACGTAAGTGACCAGAAAAAAAATCTTTTTAGGATTTTTTATGGAATTCTAAGTCTGCATTTCAAGACCAAAGCTCAAACCTTTCCACGGTTTAAATCAAGCACTTGTGCAATGTTTCCTGCCACAGCTCCCCCCTGGAAGACAAAAAAAATATTGAACAGTTTAGATGACTGACAAATACAAAACTTTTACACAAAAATACACAGCCCAGAACTTTTGGCCTGTCTTAATCAAGAATACAAAGTAAGTTTAATGAGATATATGTTTCCTTTTCCCACAGAACTATCTTGTTATAAAGAATTATGAAGAACTATTCAAGAATAAAGCTGTCTTGCTAGTTTCAGCCCCATACTTAAGAAGGGCTTCATTTTCAGGTGCTATTTCAGTTTGGGTAATTGCCATGATTAAAATAGTAAGTATCTATTTGCAAAAGAGTTAACAATGAGCATGAAAGCAAGAAAGAAACATATGTAATGTAATATGATCATTTCTGAGGATGATAGACAGATTTTGAGTTTACCATTTAACACGAAGGTATTAGCCAAAAATCAAAAATTTTTCAAAGTTTTTTGAAAAGAGAGAGAGAGTAAAAAGAAGCTAAGCTTCTGTATCTGCAGGCTTCTCTCAAGAGCTTTTGAGTCCACTGCAGCCCTCTATTATCATATACACAACAGGGCTACAAAGACAACAAATAATAGATCTGGTATAGCTTTCCTCTATTGGAATAATTCAGAGTCTTCTGTTTTTTCTCCTATAAGTTTAAGTATATAAAGATCACTGCCTAATGAAAGACGAAAATAATTGTTTTTGTAACTTGTTCTGAATCTACTCTATATGTAAGGCTGAAATTTTTCCTATTCTGATGCACACGTACTCAGTACTGACACTTGTTTGTTGGTTTCTGGTTAAGAAACACACACTCAGCTTCTGCTCACCGCAGACGCATTAGAACAATGTACTTACTTCTGCATTCCGGGGTGTATATAGTGGAACTAGTTGAGACAGAAGAGACCAAAGGGCAGGATTATCAGGGTTACTGCAGATTAAAAAAGACAAGATAATTAGACTTTCCAAATTCCACATCAATCTTGGTCTTCTGTGACTCTGTAGACACCTGTTAAAGTGCCCAAATGGGCACTGCGGCAGCAAACAGACATAGACAGTAATTTAACACAGACAACCGAATACCCCCCAAATCATATCGCTACTTAAAGAAATGAAGTATACAATATGCATACCAATATTTACAGGAAGAAAACTGAGACAAAAGGTAGGATTAAAGATATTGTCTTCATCATCTAAAAAAAAATAAGGATATTTAACTGTAGTTGGGGAAAAAACTGTCTAAAAACGGGACTGAAAACACACAGAGAATACAAAATGCTGCTTGCATAAAGGCCATAAATAAAATCCCCTGCTCCCTATAATGTTTTGGTTAATCAGAGCACATTTAAACAAAGACATTCAGCTAACAGAAAGAACAGCCCCCGAGGCCATTAAAAATAAAATAAAAGTTTTTTTAAAATTCTAGGTTGAAAGTTCTGCTAACTTTGGTAAGTATTAAGTAAGTTTGAGAAAAGCATTTTTTTAAGAAGCATTGAAACTAGAAACAGAAAACCCTAAACAGGCCACAATACTTGAGAAACTTGACTCCATAAATCAATACAACTTCATTTTTCAAGCATGCTACAAATAAGCAGAGGTTTGCTTATTACTAACATTAAAAACACACACATTTATAAGAATTTTAAAAGACAGAATACAGACCTATGAATTGCTTTGGAGACTTGTCTCTGGACACCCACATTTCTACCTTGCAATGCATAAACAGCAGCAGTAAAAAGGCACTTCTCGTAAACGCTGTTTTCCCCTTTGACATGCTTCAGTAATTCCTTTAGTGCTGCTGTTGCAAGTGTAGCATCCTGCTGCACCAGTCCTAAAGTGCACAGAGCCTTCAGACTTTCTGCATTGGGTTCCTTTAATGAGCTGTGGAAACAGGGAAGAATGCAGATGGTCCATAGGGCAGCACAAATTAAACTCAATGTTATAGAATTTGCTACGTAGCCTGTATATTCTGCTTTATCAACAGCACCTTCCTGGATAGTAGTAGTTTCTCAAGGTTAGCATGGCCAAGAGGAGGAAATAGTTCCAGTAGACTTCAGGAGCCACTGGGAAAAAAGTGAGCTGAGTCCTGCTGGCTGGGTGTCCACCCCGTGTTTCCAACCTGTGCCTGCAGCAGGCTCCCATCAGCAACCCCTCTACAAGGGTGCCAGGGCTCCCCATCAGGTAGATTATTATCCCCAAGATAATAAACTTATCCTGGATAGCCCTTTATAAAGTGTCTCTCTTCATTGGTGTCCCACCCTCTCTTGCCTGGCTTGCAGTCTGAGTGTGAAGTCCTAACTTACCAACAGTTAGGATATGCTGAATTAATGGTCTCTTAGCACAGGATGCTGGATCAAGCTAGGTTAGTATTCTTGAGGTCTTAAGTAAAAGAGCGAGCAATAGTTATGCAGCATTTCAGCACTCAAGCTTACAAACTACAAATATTTGAGAAGAATGACACACTAGCTGCCCTTAGGAAGTAATCATAGATAGAACAATCACAAAACATCTAATACCTTTCTTTCTTTTTTTTTTTCTTAAAAAAAAAAAAGAAGTCTGCAGTGCTAACTAAGGCCAAATTAGTTAGAATCCTAGAATGCTTAAGGTTGGAAGGACCTCTAGAGGTCATCTAGTCCAACCCCCCTGCACACACAGGGTCACCTAGAACACGTGGCACAGGACTGCGTCCAGGCGGGTTTTGAACATCTCCAGAGGGGGAGACTCCACAACCTCTCTGGGCAGCCTGTTCCAGTGCTCTGTCACCCTCACTGGTAAGAAATTTTTCCTTAAGTTCCTGTGGAACTTCTGGTGCTTCGGTTTGTGGCCATTACCTCTAGTTCTGTCGGTGGCCACCAGTGAAAAGAGACCAGCATTCTCCTCACCATTCTCCTCACTGCCCCTCCATTGAGGTACTTATAGACACTGATTAGATCCCCTCTCAGCCTTCTCTTCTCCAGGCTGAACAGGCCCAGCTCTCTCAGCCTCTCCTCATAGGGCAGATGTTCCAGGCCCCTGATCATTCTTGTAGCCCTGCGCTGGACTCTCTCCAGCAGCTCCACATCCCTCTTGTACTGTGGGGTCCAGAACTGGACACAATACTCCAGATGTGGCCTCACCAGGGCTGAGTAGAGGGGCAGGATCAC